AGTGATGTAGGCAAAAGGTACTGTAGGCAATCGATTTGTAGGCAAAAGCAACCATCTCTAAAATTATAGCAGTTTGATATGTGTGTAGCGTCATTTTTTTGTATCGGGGCAAAAACTTTTCGAACTACTCTCATAATAAGTGTTTCTTAATTCTAACTTACCTTTATATATCTAAAAAATATTTTTAACTTTAGTTTATCTTATCTATGTATGAATATTACAAATTATTTAAATATTATAAAAGTTGTACAAACAATAAAAAATGTTTAAAAAAATTAAAGATGTAAAATATTCCACCTTTTTCTATTAGATTGATCAACTCCTTTACATGCTTTATTATGTTGCAATAGTGCGAAATAAATGCGCATGCGAAGAAATAATTTTCGAAAAAAGTCTATAGGAAAGTCTGGACATGGTGATTGAAAGTTAATGTCTTGTACTAAAGAAAGTAAATAAATACCAATATTTTTGTTATAACAATTAGTTTCAAAATTTTTAACGAATATTTCATCTAATTTATGTATATATAAACACAAATTATTGCTTGGAATAGTCAAAGCTCCAAATAGTTCTCCGTTTTCAGATCCATAGTCGCGAAATGAACAATATAGAGTAGTCTCATCTAAAATACGAATATCTTTGTTCATATAATCTGTACACGCTTCGCACGAATGTATCGATAAACATCTTTTTATTAAATAGCCGCAAACATATTTAAATGCATTTTGTTCTGGCAGGTCCATAGATCGATAGTCATGTGTAGGAACATCTAAAATTTTTTGCGTAAATGATTCATTAAAGTCAGAAGTTATAAATCGAAGATTGGATGTTTCCATAAGATTTAATATTTCATCGGAGTCTGGAGCACAATTTTTTGTATCACTAGATTGTAATAACTTAATACTAAACAATTTTTTAAAAGCGCGAGTAAACTGTATAGGGGTCGGATTTACACAGTTACCGCCTTGTTGCCGAATAGAACCAAAAAGTTTTCGAGGCAATCTTGATTTATTCTATATGTTTGTAAATATGGAAAATTAAAAGTCTTTAATATTTTCCACAATTGTATAATACTGTTAATAGTAACTTGCCAGTATTCAAAACATTTAATTTTTACAGTTTTACCCTTATTGTTAACAGCTGTGATATCTTTCAAAAAAATCAATGTTTCTTGTAAAAATTCTACTTGTTTTGTGCTTCCGGTAAAAACTTTTCGATATTCTTTTGAACTAACTGTAAAAGATAAATTTAAAATGTCAAATAATTTATCGAAACGGTCAATAAATTCTATTGTTCCAATTGCTTCAGAAGGAAGACAACATTAACGTGCACATACGTGCAGCTACATGATTACTTAAAACTTGTACCGCGTATTTAACTTTCATTTTCGAAAAATTGTTGGGTTCAATATGAATCGGAGATAATTTAGAAGCTGCTTTAATCCATTGTTGAATATCTTTGGAATAAAATTGGACAATGTAACTCCATGAAGCAAACTTATCACAAAATTCTAAATTATATTTTAACAAATTATTACGCGTTGCTTTGATTAAATGAGGAGTATCAAAAATATATAATATATTTTGTTCATTAACGACAAACACTGAATTTTTATTAGATATACCTAATTCGCGAGACATTTGTGGGAAGTTGGAACCCATGTCCGTAACTAATGTATGCACAGTAGCACCACTTTCTCTTAACTTAATTATTGCATCAAAAATAATATTTTTTAATGTACCGCTTGTACAAGTAGTCCCAGCAAAACAATAACAAAGTGGAACTTTCCAATTACTACGCGTGCCATTAGAACAAATGCATTTTTTGCAGATATTGGTAACTTATTATTACCATCATCTTGAAAGCCTATAATTTCATCTTGAGAAATATTGTAAAATAAATGACACTTTAAACTCATTTCGTCCGTGCAAAATATACAATGTCGTTCTAGAAGCGGTAATGAATGTAATTTTATTTTCAATGTTTCAAAGATTTTTGTATTAATACCAGGCCAATATTCCAATTATACGTAAAAGATTGCAAAGTGCGCACAGAAGGTAATGTAAATGATTTTTTAAATTCTTTATAGGTTCGCGGACTTAAAAAGTGCAGCGATAAAGCAAATTTTTTGAACTCATTACTGTATCGTATATCACGTTTGCTTTTTGTTTGCGCGTCTACTTGTACTGATAGCAACATACTAAATTTGTCTGGTAATAACTTATTTCCTGAAGTTTTTATAGTCTCCAATTCCTTGGTTTGTATCTCATGTTTTTCGTGTGATGGTCCTTTGGCGGTGGTTCTTTTTTTTCTTTCTCTCTTGAAGACGTCGTAATTTTTGATGAAGAACTTTATTTTTTTATTGTAATTTCTTTACAGTTTTAAGTAATTTTTCTTTTATAGGACTGCCCTTTTTCTTAGTTACTTGTTGTTTTATAAGATGTACTTTTGAATAAATACAAAATCCATTAAAAACGAAAAAAAGAAAAATACAACACAGGTAGCAAGCTACGTCATTTTGACGTCGTTTTGACGTCAAATGACGTCTTTTTTTACGTCAAATGACGTCATTTTGACGTCAGCTTGCTACCAGGGAACAAAAACCAGGTAAGTGCTAATTACAGTTTATATGAAATCAAACATAATAAGTGTATAAAAATACAAATAATATGCGTTTATTGTCTTTATTTCTTGATGATAAATTCTATAATAATTTAATAATAATTATTAAACTAACTGTACAGTTTCCTACTTTTATTAATGTATTAATCCTGTATTTCCAATGTGCAATATATATCAGTTGTATACATTGCAATTAGACACCAGCCAATCACAGCGTTAAAAAAAAAAGTTTAAACTTTCTAGGTGAAAATCACTGTGATTATCTCGAGTGAGCAATTGTATGGTGAGAATCGCTCCTTATAATATTTAATATTATGTTTAAAGTAATAGACATAAAAACTTATGGTTTCACAATTTCAACGTCCATTTGAATTTCTCTCTCCTTTTCAGCTTCTGTATCTGCTTCTATTTCACTGCAAAAAAATTTCAAATTATGTGATTCATTACATTAATACTAAATCAGAAGTACACACATATTATGTCTAAAAGTAATCTAAAGTAAACTGAAATTGATAGTCATAAAAATATAATTATAAAATTACCTTATTTTAGATAATATCAAATCTTTTCCAAATTTCGTGGGTATGGCATCTGGATGAAGAACTCTTCTTTTACTAATTTTAAACCATTTTTCTTCAAAATGTAGATAGCATAATTGACAATTTCTAGAAGAATATTCAAGACCTTTTTCTTCTAAATCCAGTCTCCCACTTCCTCGTATCCATTGCAACCATCTGTTAAATTAATTTATTAATGTAAAAAAATATTAAGCACGCATTTATACAAATAATATTAAAAAATTGAAAATATTTGTATAATATATGGTATACCTATCATATTTTTTAGGAAATTTAAATACATGTCTTCCTTCTAATTCAAGATTTCCAGGACATCCATTTATTGAACAATATTTAATTTTTTTTCCACTCATTTTCTTGATGTGTAATCTATTTTCTTTTTATATCTGAAACAGAGCTAAGATCAAAGAGTTTTCTGCAAGAGAATTGAAAATCTGTACGATATATATGTACAGATCTACAATTCTCTTTAAGAATAATTGTCACTTTCTTTATTCTTTTCACTTGACTTCACTTTATTTCACTTCCCTGTACTTCACTTCACAATAATCCACTTCACTTTATTTTTTTTCACTTCACTATTAATATCTAAAACAATTTGCAAGGACAATTTGCAAGACATCACCGACATTAAAGCATATGAACTTAAGGGGATCCTAAAGCAAAGCTCGAACTCCGAAAAATCACTAGATGTCGCGCCGCGCGCCGCACATCGCATGTCTTTTTATACTACCACTGACTAGGGATGCGACATCGAAAGCAAAATATCGATATTTCGTATCAATACACATCGAAGACCTGAGTATCGATATTTCAAAAATCGAATCTTTTGGACCGATATTATCGATATTATCGATATTATCCGGGAATTATATAGCAATTTATAGGTACACAAAACTTTATAAGAACTTTTAACATACAATATATATACTAACAGAAAACCGCACATTGAAACAAAACATTTCTAAAGAGGTTCTAAAGTGGTCAGTGGATAAGGTACTAACCTACCTATGCCAAAAATTTTAAATTAAAAATGTGATTAGAATTATTTGTATGAAGCCCTAATTTTGAAAAATCGATTAAGTCACTTTAAATTTATATTTTTATTACAGATTATTACCTTATCGACGGATAACTTTAGAACCCTGTTAATACTATATTACGATACAAGTGGGTAAAAATTTTTTCTGCGAATGTGAGTGTTGCGGCCCGAGTCCAAAGCGACGGTTGCATTCACATTCGCAGAAAAAACTTTTTCTCGCGTGTGCCATAACATATTTTATGTTGCAAGTGTGTGTAAAATGAGGAAGATAAAAAAGACGAAAATGTGTAAAACCGCATTTTGCGCACACTGCAACATAAAATATTTTTTTTTCGAAAAAATGTTCATAAAAACTCCGAACTTCTAAGTTGCTTCAGCATCACAGATGTCAATTGTGAATAGGATGATCTTAGTGCAACCACTTTGGCATTCTACCTGGCAATCTGGCATTATTATAAAAGGTATTATTAAATAAATGCACGTAAATTGTTTATTTTACAATAAGAAAGTTTTATTACTTTGCACTACCTTTATTTGCATAATAAACTAGAAGTTTGTTCTAAAAACGTTATTATTATTTTTATACTACTTATTGCACAGTCTTGCAACACAAATTAACAGAATACAAAAATTATTACAATAGATACTTCCTTACTTAAACATTTTGTACGAAATTTTGAACAAGAACATAGATTAATAATTTTGAATCGAGATTTTCTTTTTCAAATTTTTTTTAAGATTGATTATTATCTTATCATGTAAATATTAAAAATAATAAAAAAGATTTAAAATAGAACATTCTGACTTTCATAAATGCCAATCTTTTTCTTCCAGGCTTGTTAAAAATAACAATTTGTCGAGGTGATCACCGGATAGCCTGTTTCGGTCATCAGACATTATGCGCCCTGCACGTGAAAAAACTCGCTCTGATGGTACAGAGGTCCCAATCATAGACAAATATTTTATTGCTACATGCTGTAGGTTGTTATTACTGCGAGCTAACCAATATTGTACTGGATTTTCTTCTAATGGAATGTTATCTTCGTGAAGGTAGTATTTTAATTCGGCATTTCATCAGAATCTTGATTCGTTTGTTTTTCCTTACTTATATTTACAAGATTTTGATGGTAGGACCAAAATCCACTATTCTTGTCATTTTCAGTATTCGGTGAAGCGTGTACTATTTCTGTAGTCTTAGATTTATTTCTTAAAATGTTTGATATTTTGTTCACAGCTCGCACGCATGCTACAGGATTCAAAAACGAAATTTTTTTAAACCTAGGATCTAACAATGTTGCCATGGCCAATGTTGTGTTTTTTTCGATGCCATCAAACCTCTTCGCTAGTTGTATTTTTAAAAGTTTTTTTAAATTATTCCCAAGATTAGTTGTCGATTCGAAGCTATTTATATTGTTTATCAAAGTATTAACGACAGGAATAATTTTACTAGCTGTTAAAAAAGATTCGGCAGATACAATTTTCGTGGCTACTTCGAATGGCTTCAGTAAGTTCAGGAATTCGCGTGCAGCTTCCATTTCTAAAGCACTTAACATGCAAGGAGCAGCTGGGCATTGTAAGATAACAATGCTTACTTTTTCACTTAATTCCACAAAACGTTGTATCATATCGTGCGTCAAATTCCAACGTGTATCGATACTTTGGATGAGCTTCAGTTGTGTGTGCACTCGTAAAAGGTCAGCTGCAACGACTGATTTCTTAAAAAATGCCACAATCTCCTTAATTTTTTTACAAAACTCTTTAATAGTTTTGTCTTCGTCGAGAACTTTTGCAACAACTAAATGTAATAGATGGGCAAAGCAAGATAGTTGTTTTTCTTCTCCAAATGCATCCAAAACTGCTTTCTTAATGTTTGCAGCGCTGTTTGAGACTATAACAACAATTTGTTGAGGAGTCACATTCCACTCTATTGTTCGCCTCAAGAGCCAGTCTTTTAAATAATCTGCGGTATGTCTTTCAGAAAGCTCTGCGACACTAATCGTAACAGATTTATGATTTCTTCCCTCTAAAAAGTGTACTGTAAGTCCTAAAAAGCTTCTTGTATTGAGAGGTTCAGTCCAAATATCAGTGATTAGAGAAACATGTTTTGTTTTTGCTAATTGCTGTTTCATCAAGGCAGACAAAATTTCGTATTTTGATTCGAAACGTTCTGTAATTGTTTTACGACATGGTATTGTGTAATGCGGAGCTACAGTTTGCATAAGTTTAGTAAAACCCTCTTTTGCAACCGTATTGAGCGGCATGTTGTCCTTAATAAGCATGTATACAATTTTGTTTGTAACTTCATTAGCCTTATACCCTCCATCTGAAATACACAAAAAATACATACTACTTTGGTGTAGTGACTCATTCACTAGCTCTTCCTTTGCTTTAATTAGTTTTAATTTTTATTTATTATGTTTCAATTATCGAATAACTAATATGAACAATCTCTATTAAATGATTAACTATTTATAAATATTTAAAAAAAACGTCTTATTCCCAAGCGCAAACACAGACAGATGATTGTGTAGTAACAAATTATTCCTTTTATTTATCTTCTTATAAAGTTTATTTTTTCGTTATATTGTTTTAATATTTATTTGTTTTACTATGTTGTTAAAATATTCATTTTTTTCTGTTATATTTTGATAATTTTTATTTTTGCGTGAAATATTGAACAGTAAAAAAGTTACAAAATTTACCATGAAATGATTTTTGTTTTGCGAACATATGATCCAATCTTGGTTGTTTGACAACTACATCTGTGTATGTCATATTAATGGACGATTCCGAATTTGAGGAAACTCTTGAAGACGTTGACGGAACTTGAGAAAGAGGTCCAAATTGTATGTCTTCACATTCTTCACTTTCGTTTTCATGCGATGGAAGCTGATCGAAATATAAAAATTCATCTCACTTTAACAATATTTTCCATAAACTGATTGATTATCGAATAATGTGAAACTCGTAATAGATTTTGAATAAATAATTTGTGACATTTGAGCTTTATTTCGTAGTCTGTTATACAAATCGTTAACTTTGTGAAGTTATAAATATTCCAACAATATTTTTGTTGGTTTCAACAAAACCAAAGAATTATTAATAATAAATATGTATTACTTTCAAAAACTAGCTCGTTATAAGAAAAAATGTAATTGTTAGAAAATGCTTTCTTTACCTCGAATTTTCGTTTAAAAGTTTTCTTTGTCAGTTTGTTCTCATCAGCTAATAGTATGTCTTTATGTATCCTAACCATATGACTCATTAGATTCGAGGTGTTGCCAGATGTTTTAACTTTTGTATTGCACAGTTTGCACATGCCTATTTTGTCCATTTTTACAAAATACTTCCAAACTTGGCTTCTTGGAGGCACTGTATGGCAGAAAAATAAACTTTAGTGTTTAATGAAGCAGCATGAATTATTTTACATATTTTATTGCAAATATTCTGTATCGAAACATATTTATTTATTTTTTCTTAAGTACAAATGACAACAAATTCTTATTACCATTTTATTAAGGTGGCAGTAAATGTATCATTACACTGAACCAAATTATGCTTTTGTTAAATTAATCAACGATTATGTCCAATAATGATCACTTGATATACTACTTTATGACAAAATCACAACCAATAATAATAATATAATTTCATATAAAGTTTTTGTAATTAGACGGGAAATTACAGTTTATTATACATAACGTCATATGTGGTTAATAATCCATAAAAAATAGGGTGAATACTAAGCAGTGGAATTGACAACATTGCGTTCATATGAGAACAAGAAAAAAAAAATTGGTTTTTTGTGCTAGTAAAGAACAAATTGGGATATCAATTTGTTCTCTACTTATGAGTAAAAATGTACTTTCTTCTCGTTCCCATTTAACCAAATGTTTGCGATGTCATCACCTGGTATTCTCTCTACCAAGAACTCACATTGTCACGTTTGATAATTAAAACATGAATTACAGGATAGATAGTGATAAATGTGGGCATACTTTTAATAGGTTTACATCGACGTTATAGGATCAAAACTGATGGACTCTTCACAAATATATAGGAACAGGTTTAATGCATTAAATAATCCTGTAAAATAAATGTAGAAACAATCTTATTAATATAATATTTTTTATGAACGTCATAAATCGTTTGAAGGTAGTATTTAGATCTGTGTGCTAATCGTCATAAAAGTGAGAAAATAAAAGTAAATGATATAAACGTATAAATTCTAAGTAGTAGTAAAGATCGCAGAGGTTCGACATAACCTGTTATTATCATAATTTCATAAATTGATATTTTGTCAAGTATATTATTCAAATAGTAGAGAATTTCGTTTATATATACCTTAGAACATATACACCTGGAATGATAATAGGACGCTCAGGCTGAAGCCAAGATAAGTGTGAGAGAGAAAGGTATAGAAGACCTAAAATTCGCAATGCACATGCTCAATTTCGTCAGGTGATTCCATCTATTACGTTGTTCCATTCGTTCCAATGGATTGACGAACGGAATGACGGAACTGAACATGCGCATTGCGAATTTTAGGTCTTCTATACCTTTCTCTCTCGCACCTATCTTGGCTTCAGCCCAATGCATTGCGGAGTTAACACATCTTAAGGTGCCTTTTCACGCTGACGCTCGACGCTCATTTTCAGCGTCAAAACAGGTCACATGATCAAAATTGACGAATACCAAGCGTCAATTTTGATCACGTGACCTGTTTTGACGCTGAAAATGAGCGTCTAGTGTCAAATGAAAATCCAGCCTTATGGTTAGAAATTCATCCGGTGAGTTCGATATTTTATGTCCGATATTCGTATGTTTGATATCGATATGGAAAAATATTGATGACACCGGTTTCGATAAAAATATCGAAATATCGATGAGACCGATATCGATAATCTAGAATATCGATCTCCGATGTCGCATCCCTACTACCACAGCAATATCTCCCGCAGCCTATGATACACGCAGTCACACATACGTGTCAATTTTCGTACAACGAATTCGTCGCGATAAAGCGTCTAAATCTAATTCTAAGAACTCGACGTTGTATGTTCGTACAAATTACGTGTTTGGGAACTATTATTTCGTACGTTCGGGCTGCAAAGCTTTCATATCAAACAAATGTTGTCACGACTTGACAGCTGAGACGCCACATTACACTAAGAAATGGTAAAAAATATATTGATTTCGAAATTTTTGATCATTCTCAGCGTAGACTCTACTTCACAAACACGTATTAATGCGTATACTTTAATCCTGGAAAATGATTTTCCAATCCGTGAAAGAGAAAAAGAGTATTCGTTATACAAAAATTATACGTGTTTAAGTCGGTAATACAGATCTTTAGGATCCCCTTAATATACTGCCGTTACCGCCAATTGTTACACAAACAATTCAACGGTTAAGAGAAAGACCGAAAACACAAAGAATAAGTGAGAGAAAAGTTCAGATGGCGTTACCGTATGTAATGTCTCAACTTGCGTATGCGCGCTACGCTTTTGGCTTCACATAATGAATATACTGTG